AGATTAATAAATATGTCTTAATTGACGTATATATTACTCTGAATACAACTATCTTAAGTACTCATGGAATAACCAAAATTATCATATGCTGGTTCAGAAATCAAATCTCAATAAATTTCAAGGAATTTCAATAATGCAGTGTTTGTTCTCTGGCCAAAATGGAATCAAACTGGAAATAGCAAGGGTACTGACCTGTCAAATCAGAAGCTGGCCCAAGGGCTGGCATAATTACTGGATACCTCCTGCTGTACAGGTATTTGCATTAACCTTTTAGTTACTAGATGATCAGTCCTGGGAAGGGTACTGAGTAGGTGGTGGAGAAACTAAGCAAGCCCAGAGCAGTGCCTATTTGCCAAATGATCTGAAAATATTCAAAAATTTAATATCTATATAATTACACCTGCAAAATATCAGTCCCATTTAGAAGGCAAATTATAGCTTTAGATGTTAATAATCAAAACTAAGGAAGTCCAAAAATGATAAGTTAAACATCCAAAAACAGAAGGCAAAAGAACAACAGAATGAATAGAATGAATAAGAAAGTGAAAGAAATAGATACTAAAAATACTCTAAATAGAAAAACAAAGGTATAATATAGAATCTAAGTCAAAATGTTGATATTGTTTTTAAAAGACTTATAAAAGTGGCATACTCTGACAAGATTGATCAAGATGAAAAAAAGAGAAAGTGCACAAAATATTAGAACGAAAGAGAGTATAACTACAAATGCAACAGTGATATGAGTTTTATGTAAATAAGTTTGAAAGTTATGTGAAATAGAAAATATCATACAAAACCACAACAAAGCCAAAGTAAAAATAGCAAACTGGAATAATTCTATAACCATCTAAAAGGTCGCTATCAGTCATTTTTTTTAAACAAATACACCAGGTCCAGATGGTATAATCTGGATATTGTGTCAAAATATTTAAGGAACAGAGAGTTCCTTGAACAGCCTCTGCCAGAAAATACTATGAAAGTAAATAGTTCTCTCCTCACTTTATGACACCAAAATTGAACAGGAAAACATGAAAATGGAAAATTTACAGGCAAGTGTTATTTATTAACAAAATAACAAAATTCCTAAACAAAATTATTAATGAATTAAATCCAGCAGTTTGTATTTAACTTAAAACTGTTAGATTCCTTCACTCAAGAAAAATCTTTAATGTAATTTACACTGACAAATTAAATAGAAAATCAACATATGTCCTCAGTGAACACAGAAAATACATTTAATAAAATTTAACATCTACTCATTTTTTTAAAAAGCCATTCCTAAACAGAAGAAGCTGGAACTTCCTTCACCAGTTAAATGGTCTCTAATGAAAAAACAAACTAAACGGTGAAACTTTAAAAGCATTGCTTTTAAAAACAGGATCAACAAAACAATGTATATAGTAACATTTCTATTTAGCATTGTACTGAAAATTGTGCGTATTGGAGGTAGGATGTCTTATATATGCAGTAACATAAGAGAACAAGACAAAGAAATTATCAGGTTTAGAGAGAAAAAAAGAAAACTTGCATCTAGATATAAATTATCACAATTAATAAAGTTTATCATATTTTCCAGTTATACAAGAAACACATAAAACTTCTAGAATTACACTTGTATACTTCTGAAATAAACTGCTATATAATTTTCTCAAAAATTACTATTTACCATAGCAATACAAATAATGCAAAATTTTAAATAATGATGTGCAGCACTTTTAAATTTTTTTCTCAAAGCTTTTAATCGTTTGACATATATATCCTTCATAATTCATTAACATACATATTTTTTCTTTTAAATTTTAAAATATTTATTTATTTATTTTTTCACACCATACTTCATTTTGTGCATTTTTCATCTCAATTGTAGTTCCCGTGGACTTCCCACCACCAATTCACCTGTGTGCTATCACCAGAGTCCTATGCACTCTTTCCAACTCAGGTTAGAAGCCCTTTTAAATTCTATACTTTCACTCAAATAACTTGAAAAAGGTATGAACAAACGGAAAGATATACCATTTTTTACAAAAAACCAACATCAGGGGCCTCCCTGGTGGCACAGGGGTTAAAGACACAGTGCTCTCAAGCAATCCACGCCATGCAGCACAGAGTTTGATCCAGGCAGGACAGGTGGCTGACCCACATAGCACAGCAGACCTCTCCTGTCTTGCCCTCAGCATTGTATTACTCCCCACAGTGTATTTCAGTAGATCTGCTTGTTCTGCACCCCAGTCTCTCTGGTGAATCCTCTCACTCCCACACCTCTGGCTTATACCCTAGTTCTTTTATGTATAAATAAGTAAATCTTAAAAAAAAAAAAAACTCAACATCTATAAAGATATCAATAAAGACTCCTCAAACTGACCCACAGTTTGAATGCAATTCCAATTAATACCAAATTTTGTGACACAGACAGCTGTGTCAGTGTGTGTGTGTGAGAAAGAGAGAGTGTGTAACGTGAAAAGCTAATTCCAAGATTTATGGGGCCAAGAATTTTAATGAGAAGTATTTTTTTTTTAAGATTTGTTTATGTATACAGAACTGGGGTACGGGCCAGAGGTGCAGGGGCAGTGAGAGAATTCACCAGAAACAGAGTTGGGAGCAGAACAGGTAGATAAGTAAAGTACACTGCTGAGGGGAGCAGTGGGCAGGTCAGGAGAGGTCTGCCGTGCCATGTGGATCACCACCGGGGCTGGGATCGAACTTGCAATGAAGCAGCTGGCTCACTTGCAGTGTTGTGTTTTAACTCGCTGCGCCACCAGGGTGGACTGGGGACAAAACTTTTAATTTTGATGTTGTTCTTAACCAAACTAGAAACTACCTAAATGCTCATGAACAATATGATGGATAAATATAGCATGGGTTATTCATAAAATACCATATTTCAAAGCAAGCAAGGAGAATAAACAAGTCAGAATTGCACTCAACAATGATATAGATGGCTGGTAAAATATTATGTTGAAGGAGAAAAAAATCACAAATGAATATACACAGCTGTTCAATCAGTTTACACATGTTAATATATTTAATCCTCAGAACAACCTCATTGTGCAATTATGTGCCTTCCTTCCCCAAAATTCACTGTAGTCCAGGCAGTTCTCCTGGAGAGGATGCCCCAAATGAATGGTAGTTCAGATATTTCTGGGGGGTAATAGCTTAGCCTCCCTATCAAGGGAAGTGAGGCAAACATTGCTCAGTGTAGGACTTGACAAACACTGTCTACATTTACTCTGTCTGAGGTGTGAAATGATTCAGTATAATCAGCGATTGTCTTGTACACAGAGTCCCTTGCTTTGTTATAGTGAATAAAAGAGTGAGAGCTTTGCAAAGTGCTCATTTACGAAACGTCTGCTCTGTATGTACCAAGCTCTGGGGCTGATGCTGGGATATTATGAGCAATAATCCACACACCTGCCTTCTTGTTTTAATACTGCCTAACATTTACGGAAAGGTTGCTGTTCTACACACTCGTCTAAGCATTTTCTGTGCTCTAGTTATCTAATCTTCACAACATTATTAACTTCTTTTTATAGAAGGGGAAATGGAGATACAGAGAGGTTAAGAGGCTTGCACAAGGACACAGAGTCATGAGGTAGAAAATCTGGGACTCCGACTTAGGTAGCCTGGTTCTAGAACCTTTGAAACATTGAACTGATTCCATACTTTGGGGAGGTAGGCATTAATCCTATGTTACAGCTAACTGAAGAGACTCAGAACTAATATGAACACATAATTACTTTGCACCTTCTATGTGACAGAGGTTAGGTTATTTATGTATATCATCTATCCAGTTGAAAAGGTAGAGATCTTAGGAGTATAAAGATCCCAAGTCTTGAAGCCCCAGGCGTGCAGATAGTAATTTGCCTCCTTGGCAGAAAAACTCAATAGTCTCTTGGAAAAGATCAAGGGTAGCTGGGTAGGTGGGGATGGGATGCAATTCCTATTCTTATTCAGGTTTCTAAATCTCCAGATGAGTGAGTGATACTGACAGGCGAGAGGAAGAACAAGAAATTGCTCTTTTCCCCTTTCTTGCTCCATCCACAACCTACATTGCATACACTATATTTAACATCCTATATTTTCCTGTATCCTCTAAGCAACTACCTTCTCTTCCTCTACACTTCTACTATTTCTGAGCCTGGATCTCCTCTAGCATTAGCATAGTAGAAGTTTAGCCACTTGGTCCTTGAAATGTCGGGGTGCCACAGTCTAGAGTCTAGAGTTGTCTTATCTCCTCCTACCTTATGGTTCCCCAGGCTATAGCCTTAGGCTAAAACCAACTTAATCCACAGATGCTCTCTGTTATCTATAGGAAATGGCAAACTATGGTTAAAAAATATTTATAGGTTTTGTTTGCTTTTTCTTTGCCCCTGCTATTTCTTAAATTTTCAAAGTGAACATCACACCAGCAGGCTGCCCTGATAGACTGTTTTCTCCCTCAAATCCCCAGAGCATCAAAAGTGTCCCCACATACCAAGAAGGCAATGTAGGAGACAGGACACCAACTTTTTCCGATCCAGTTAGGGCTACTAGATTTATTAGAAGGGGTTTAAGCAAGAGGAGGAACAAAACTCACCAATGACCTGGTACTGTGTGTTCCCAGCACCTGTCCACTGAGAAATGATGCCAGGGACCATCAATCACCTTATTTCACCCAAACATTAGCTAGACACTTCACATGAGACATTCTTGGCTAGCACTAAATAGTTACAAACTGCAAAAGTCAAATTCTAAACAAAAAGTGCTGAATAAGAAGGAGAAATCTATTGAAAACAATCCCTCTGATTAAGATGTCTTTACCTACTCTCTGTCTTTATCTTTTTTTCTTTACTTTGCTACTGTTTCTGACATCATCTTTTTATTATTTTACAGCTATTTCATCCAGTTTCTCATCTATTTCAATGTTCAGGTTGTAGTGAAGGTGAATAGATGCAAGTCTTTTGCACTTCTAAACCCACTTGACCACCACCACCTTGAAGACCACAGAAACAAACCCCACTTACATCCCCTCCTCTGTTGTAGCCTGCTGCTGCCGCTGGGGTGTGGAATCCAGATCTTCTGCAACCTGCTTTGGGTGAGCTCTCCCATCTCCTGAGACATCATAGGCATTACAACTAATGGCATCTATGTCCACAAGGTAGCAGGCCTCGCTTCCTGTTTTACTAGCTGTCTTTTTGTTGCTGTAGCCACAGAAGGAAGTTGACCAAGTTGGGATAGGGAAGTACGCTGAGTTCCTGAGCCCTCTGTTTCTGGAGTTTCTCTCTAGCCCCCTCTGTTCTTGTATGTACCAGAGGGGGCTTGAATAGAGAGGCAGAGTTTGGGCAGAGGTCAACAGAGGCCCCTGAACTCCAAGAGCTGTGTACATAGGAGATAAGTTAGAGCCCAGCAAGGACGGCAGCCAGCAAGACAGCCCAGGTCTGGCCAGTCACTTCCCTCCAATGAAGACAGGACAAGTAGTTTATGCAAATAAAAGACTGACGATCATGTGGCTGTATGCTGCATGGAGTGGGGAGGCAAAGGTGATGGAGGCAGATCTTAGCAATATTTGCAGCTTTGAAATAAAAATAAGCCCAAGCAAAATTTCAAGTTCCAAAACAAAAACGGAGATCCAATCACAAATGTAAAGGGCCCGAGTACAAAGACACAAAGGGCAGATTTGAGCTAGTGATCAAAATCCTGAACTGGATATGGAAGCCACATTGCCTCTCTGTTCCCTCTTCTCAAAGGCATTGTCATACTTATCTACTCCTGAATTCTTCTCCCTTTCCTGTCTAAGGGACTCTCCCTCTTAAATGTGCTGGTTTGAATACTCTTGGAAAGATGGACACTATCTGATCATCTCCGCTGTCTCTCCAGCCAAGGATAAACAAATCAGAGTAAAGCTGACACAGTGAGGTGAGGAGAGAAATGTGGCCATTGCTTGCAAAAGGGATGGTAAGTACTGCTCTTATGGCTCCCAGGTTCAATCAGCTACCCTAAGGAGAAAGGAATCACGATCTGATCCAGACATGTCTAAAGTTCTTCATATCAAGCCAAGGGAATGGAGGCTCAGTGTGGAGGCTGAAGCTGGTAGAAGGTGGGGCGCAGGGAGCAGTGACCTCAAAGTAGACAAATGCTTAAGCCAGAGCCATCCCACCCAGGTGTCTCCACTTCCCCTTCCCCCTCTGCCTGGCTTTGAGATATTTATATGTAGAACTCATCTAATGGCAGTTTGTCTGGAAGATGTCTGAGAGCACTCACACTTCATTTTGCTGCCATCTTGCCATCCCCTGAGGAACTCCAGTGATTGGCTATAAGGATGCTCAAGTGTCTTTCATTGAGCTGTGCTATACAGGGCAATCTCTTGGGGATAAAATCCTCTAGTCCCTTCTCTTCAAAGCACTCAGCTCTACATTGCCTTTTAAGAAGGCAAATATGTTCTCAGAATCCTACTCTACACATATTCCCTCCAGTTATTGTGTATAAATCAAACCAAACTTTCAATACATTTCAGAGTTACCCATCTAAATTAATTTACTGAGATAATGGATTATAGATGTTAAAAGCAACTTTGAAGACATATTGGCTGAATGGAATCCCACCTCTCCCCCTAGCTATGAGACCTTGGGCATACTTAACTGTTAGTGCCTCTATTTTTTCATCTGGAATGTAGAAATAAGAGTATTGACACCCTTGTGGTTGTTAAAGATATGTGTTAATATATATAAAGCTACCTGGGATATTGGTAATAGTGTGAGTCTTTTGTAAAGAAAATGGTAGATCACCTCTTCGGCTAATCTGTGACTTGTAATGTATTTTCAAGCTCACAGCAAACATCCAATATAGGAAACTTTAAATATGACAATGGATTAACATAAAAAATTAGAGCTTCTGTCAATCACTAGAAAGATGCATTTACTTTTACTTTTTGGGTTTTGTGATACAGAAGCCCCTAGGTATCATTTCATTCAATCCTCTCAGGAATTAAAACAGGACAATTAGAGGGCATAAGGGCATATTTTCCTAAAGCTTTGTAGGAATCAATGACCAAGACAGAAGAGTGCTGGGATCTGGTTGCTCCTGGCCCAGGGCATTTCTTTGGTTAATTGACCATTCTGTCTTTATTTAAGAATCTGATCTTCCACATTTGCCCAGAACCTTTAGATTGCCAGAACAATACTTTAGAAGATATAACTCTCTTAATCCTAGTAAGTCTTGTAACTGGTATGACTTCCCTATCGCTAATAATCTTTAATAGCAAATCTTTATGTGTATGTTTTCCATGGTCCACAAAGCAGCAATACATTCATTATTTTATTTGCTTCTTATGAACATTCTCACTAGCCTCACAGGGAAACTGAGGTCTGGGGAGGGGAAGTGGCTTGTTCAAGGTGGTCAAACCAGTCACACGAACACTTCTATGTTTACAGATTTGTCCTTATGACCCTGCCAAGAGGCAGAAAGATAATTTTAGCAGCAAGAAATCTGAGATAGGAGGCTAGCAGGCTTTTGGCAAGATCTGAAAGGGTAAACCTGAAGTCCAAGTTGAAAAATGCAACTTAAAGCTGTATGGATATAGGTGTTTTTATAGTTACCTATTTTGATCCCCCAAACAGGAGAATAAAACAAATTTTATGGAAAATATCAGGGTGGCTTTTCTCAGTCAAGTCCCAATATCCCACTCTGGCCTTGTCACTCTTTAGACCCCTGTGGTAAAATCGCACTGACTCACTGGTCCCAAAATTCACTGCTTTTGTATATGTTACCCTTGTTTTTTTTCCCCCCATTCAGTCCTTACTCAGTCTGGAATGTTTTCTCTTTCCTGCTATTGTCAGTGAAATCTAGCTTACTCTTTCAAGCCTCATTCAAAGTTCACTTCCTTTAGGAAGCCTGTATCCTTGAGGGAGGTCTTGTTTTTTATCCTCAAGTGTGCTCCTGTCCAAGTATCCACCAAGATTTTATTGATCTACTTTCCCCACTTCACTGTGAACTTTTACAGGATGGGCACTGAATCTGTTATCTCTGACCTGTTTTTCCAATGTCTCACTCAGGCCCCGACACCGAGGAGATACTTGCTCAATGATTGTTTGTATAAGCTACATCTCTCTACCCTAGATGATAGGACTATGAACTATGTGGCCAAATACTCATAGTTCAACAAGGTAAATGTTATAACAGAGCTATATGGGGAACTGTGTATGGGACTAACTTGGTCTGAAGGTACAGATGGAAGCTAGAAAACTGTTCAACCTTGAATGGGGAATAAAGAAAAGAAATGAACTCCTTCCTGAAAAGGTCCAGTTAACTGGTTGTAGTAAAAGGATTTACTCTATTTTAGAGACTCACTCATAATTAAGCTGGGAATTCTAAAATGGGGTTATCTCTAGGGAGAAAAACATAGTGTGACTTTCTGAGGCCTACTGATCTTGACACCTTCCCAAAGTACTAAAATGATATATAGTGACATAGAGGAAAATTCCAATAAAAGCAGTATCAAGTCAGTACCAATGGGTAACAAAGTCAAAAATGGGGTTTGCCTATTGGTAATTTTTGGAGTGTGTGGGTGTGAATATATTTGTGAGGGGCTAAAATGTAGAGAACAGACTAGCTATATTCTTATAGGTCAGGTGCCTGTATACATTAGATCTTCTGTGGCAATAACCTAGGGTTCACTTTCTTAGCCACTGTCTGGGTCCATCATACTCCCACTATCTTGAGCTTGATGCCTGGGGCCAACACTCACTAAGCTGCATCCCATGAGTGGCTGGCTCTCTGGCAATCATAGTCACTCTGGGAAAAGAGCAACTGGAGGATTGTGGGTGGTTTTATTTGTGGAGGCTACAGAAAAAGCAGGAACTCTAATATCAGACAGAGCATGGACATCTTGAAATACCTTCAAAGAGCTTTTATTCTTGTGCTCCAACCCCTCTTTACTTTCAGACAGCTCTGAACGAAGTAGACTAGTGACTATAATTTCCATTTTAGTGAAGGAACTATTGAAGCCCAGAGAAACTAAAAAGCTTCTTTGGTTTTTTTAAGGTATATATATATATATATATATATATATATAGCAAACCAGATCTACTTTATATACCAGTGGGGTAGTAATGGATATAATATCCATCAATTCATTTAAAATTGACTGAATAGACCAAGTTAGATTTCTAAAACTATTAGGGAACTGCCCTTTAGCTCAGTGCCCCATGAAGACAGGTTCAAATGGATGATTGATGATAGATAGACAGACAGACAGATAGAATGAGGTATCATCTTTTCCCCAACTTTTCCATAGTTTTTAAAGCACACCTCACATGACCACCTATGCAAAAATCAGAACAAACAAAACTTTCCAGAGAGCTAGAAGAGTTGATTTGGACTTGTGTAACTCCTATCTTTTCCCCTCCTGTTTCACCTACCTTTTCTCCTAGAGGTTTTATCTTCCATTGCTAATTATCCAACTTGCAGATCTCTTGTATTTAGAGCCCCAAAGCAAAATCCAGTGGGTGGCCTTAAAGAGGGAGCCTGGAAGCTTTCTTGTTTCCCTTGGGAAGACTTGGGAAAGTACCCTTGGCAAAAAGGGGGAGTGTGCTCTGTTGAAATATCAGCTGTTGCACTTGCCAAAGAAGTTTCTGAGCCACACAGAGCCTTTTCTCTTCAGGCCAACCATGTGTTCACCTTGCCCTAAAGGTCAGAACTAATATTAACAAGCCACTGCAGAAAAAGGAAATTAAAACCAGCAATTGGAACAGGTAAACTCTGGATTTCCTTGAGGCTGAATTTCAGGTTGATTTTTGGTGTAAATGGGCACAGTCCCTTCGTGGAAAGTAATTTGGTATTAAACAAAAGCAATAAAAATGTTTATTTCTTTTGTACTAATTATCGCACTTTTGGGACTCAATTCTGAGCCAATAAACATCAAAGCATGAGAGAGATCAAAGCATTATCATTTTAATTCTAATTGCACAGCTACTTTCTGATGGCAATGACTGGAAGATGACCTTAAATTCTCCAGGAGGAAAAGCAATTTACGTGGTCATTTTTGTGGGCATTGAGAATGATTGTTCTAAGACTGTGCAATTCTAGGGAAAAATTATTATGCTGCAATTTGGATGAGGAATCTAATGATAACAAGTTAAGCTTTTCTCTGGACATTGAGCTTGTCTATTTGTGTGTGTGTGTGTTTGTGTGTGTATGCTCTCAAAACCAAGTTATTAACCTGTGGGTGTTCTTGCTATTGCTCTTTGTTCATTCATTCAACAAATATTTATTGACCCTAATTCGTGCTGTGTTCTCTGTTGGGTGACGGGGCTAACGAGATGAGCCAACACGTTCATTGCTCTCAAGTTGAGGGCATTCCAGTGGCAGAAATTAAAACCAATAGTAGCTATGCATTGTGATAAATGTTGTTGGCAGAACCAACCACATAGTGTTGTGGGGGCTCAGGGGAAAAGATCTACCTGGTTAACTGTGTGGCTGGGAAAAACTCAACAAAGTACTCCTTGAACTGATTAAGATAATGTTTGAATCCTGTTTCTACTATATCTGAGACCAGGGTGAATTCACTCAAGCTCTTACTTAGCCTTAATTTTCTTTACATGGTTGTCCTAAGAATGAAATAAAGCACATAGAAGAGCCACAGGTTACACTGGGAGGCAGTGTTGTTCTAGAATTTAAATTCTCTGAGTCTTGATTTTAGTCATCTGAGAAATGGAAACAAAAGAATAGTATGTCAGGCAAAATCCTTAGCTACAAGGTATAAAGCCTTAGATAAATGGCTGCAGGGCAGGCTTGAAATAGTCCTCCCTCCCTCCGCCCCTAACCCCTAACCCCTAATAAAGCAGGAGAACCTCTCCTAAATCTTACTCCATTAGAGCGCTTCTTACTGCTTCCTTTTCCAACCCGCAAATCTCTTAGCTCGACCTTTCTTCTTTGGGAGCCCAGTTATACCTGCTCCTCCCAAGGCACCAGTGCTGCAGCCACTGCCTTCCGCGCACTTGTGGGGGGTGGGCTTGTCGTACTGGGGGCGGGGCCTCGGCCCCGAGCGGGTCACTGGCGGCTTAAAAAGTGAAATCCCGTTTAGAGATAATCGGAAGCACCAAGGGGACTTTTGAGCTGTGCAGAAACGCAGCCAGACTCAGGCGCGTGAGCCAGTGTGGACCCAGAGGGGCATCAGCCTAAGCGGAGACCTGCCCCTGCGCACAGCCACCCAGTACAGCTAATCGGACACACCACCCTCTTCTGCTTCCGCGCCTTCCACCAATGAGAACCGAGGGCCTTGAACTCCCGCCTTACGTGCTCCGGACCGGGACGTGGCGCGCTCCAGGACGCCTGCGCGACTGCTCCTGGAGGCCGGGCTTGGTGACGGATTTGACCAGCAATTCTCTGCAACTAGGTTTTCGCGGGGCTGGCAGGCCTCGCAATTACTCGTCAGAGGATGTTGCGCGTGATTAGCTGGAACATCAATGGGATCCGGAGCCCCCTGCAAGGTTTGGTGAAAGAGGATCCCAGCAGCTGTACCTCCGTAGACATGGGGCTCATTTTGGACAAGCTGGACGGTGACATCGTCTGTCTTCAGGAGACCAAAGTGACCCGTGAGCGCTCAAGAATCCAGGGCACTGACATATTTATCCTACTGCTAACTTTGCTCCTTCTCATTTCACTTCCTCATTTCTCTATCCTTAAAGTCCTTCCCTTAGGCTCATTTCAAATTCTAAACCTCTTTCCTTTTAACTCCAGTTTCTCACTCCAGCTAGGTTTCCTAATCTCCACTTCATCTCCAGTCCTCAGCAGAACCTTACCCTTCCCTTTGCAACACCTATCCTTCCTCATATTCTCAAATTTCCACTGATTCTCACGCCCCATCTCCATCCCCTAAATTTCTTCCCCTTATACCAGTGTCCATTCCCAAGTCAGACCCTACAACTCCCCTTTTCTGGCCCCCACTTTAGATCCTTGATTCTCACCCCTCTTTTTCCCTAGTTCATACGTTCTAAAATTTCCTCTTTTTATACATCCATCTCACATCCTCAGTTCCTTTTATCTCCTATCCCTATTGCTTCTCCCCAGCTCATGTCCCACAAGAAGCTTAAACCTCCTAACTTCTCCTTTTCACCCATCTCCATCTCACCTGATTCCTCTCCTACCCAGCCTTCTTTGAATTACTCCAACCACATTTCCTTCCGTCTCCAGTTCTGACCTTTTAATTCCCTTTACCCTGTTTTCCACCCCAGATCCTGTCAAGTCACCCAGCTTCTCCCCATCTAATTCCCCACCTCCTAGTCTGTAGTATGCCCCTCTTCTTCTCATTCAGAGATGCAATCCGTCCCTAGCTCAGCTCTCTAACTCCTCTAATTTCCCTCACAACTGTGGCTCTGATGTGTGCAAGTCACAGCTTACAACTGTAATTCCAGGTTTTTGTGTGTGCTGGGTCATTATGTCATGACAAAACTTACATCTTCCTCCCCCCCCAGGTGATGTGCTGACAGAGCCTTTGGCTATCGTGGAAGGCTATAATTCCTACTTCAGCTTTAGCCGCAACCGGAGTGGCTATTCTGGTAAATGGGACTTTATGTGGGTTTTAAATCAGTGATGGAGGCAGATAGGGGGAAGAGTTTCAAATATTTGATGAGAAGGCAATAATAAACTTAAGGTTCTGTTTCATACAGCTAAAGCTACATAGAATTATTTGAAGGATAATTTTTACAGATGGGTTTATCCTTTTGAACCTCAGATACTCTATAAGGTGGTGGTAAATTGTATGCCCTTGGAAACCAGACAGCTTGGGTATGCATCCTAGTTCACCTCCTAGCTGTCTAATCTTGGCCAAGTTACTTAACCTCTATATGCTTCAGGTTCTCTAACTAGAAAATGGGAATAATGCCTACTGTGTACCAGGCTGTTATAAGGATTAAGTTAATCCATGTGATAATAATATTAGCTAAACACATTTTGAGTACTTACCATGTATCTATGTAAAACACTGAGAATACTTGTTTTTATTCTGTGACTTTTTTTAGATGAAGTAAGTGACCTTCAGGGTTTAAGTTGACGTATTTCAGTCTCTAGTGAGCCATCCATAGCCCTTGAGTTGGAAGAGTCCTCAGTAGAAACAAACTTGATAAAGATGACTCAGGTGACCTATGTGGGGGCAGCAGGCTCTGCAGCAGGCCGGTGCTTCCAGGCCTGCTTAGACTACCCTTTCTATCTACAGGTGTAGCCACCTTCTGTAAGGACAGTGCTACCCCATTTGCTGCTGAAGAAGGCCTGAGTGGCCTACTTAGCACTCAGAATGGTGCCATAGGTTGCTATGGAAACATGGATGAATTCTCCCATGAGGAACTTCGGGCTCTGGATAGTGAGGGCCGGGCCCTCCTCACACAGCACAAAATCCGGTAATAGGCATACCTCTGTTATTGAAACTATTGGTTCTACTCTGAGTGTCGTGATTATGAGTCTTGCCTTATAAATATGCACTCACTATGGAAAAGGCTCCAAACTTACCTTTCCTGGGCTCTAGTCCTTATTGGGCTACTTACTGTGTGCTCCTGGGAAATCATGTTCTTCTCTGAACATTGAGTATCCTATCTCAACAGTGATGGTGGTCATGGAGGCAGGGGGTTGAGGGGTGGGTGGATGGGTGGAGGAGTGTGGAGTACAGCTGGCCAGCGGGTGCAGCTTTATTAATACCTCAAAAGCAACTTAGTTAATGCTGATCTCATTGCCCCAGGTAGTTCTCTTTCTGGGCATCCCATCATTGTGAGTGGCAACATTCCCCTCTCCCTGCCCCTTGCCTGACTTCAGCCATAGGCATTCCTCAAGTTTTATACATGTGCTGTTCATTCATGGTTTGCTAACTCCTTCCTTCACTTTTGTCCCACAAGCATTAAGTGGAAGCTATTTGTTGTGGGTAGGAAAGGGGAGGTTTAAAAATCCATTTTGGGGGGGATTTTCTTCTCTGCAGCATAGAGGAAGGAAAGGAGAAGACCTTGACCTTAATCAATGTTTACTGTCCCCACGTGGACCCTGGAAAACCTGAGCGACTGGTCTTTAAGATGCGCTTCTATCGCTTGCTACAGATCCGCGCAGAAGCCCTCCTAGCAGCTGGCAGGTACTGCAAGTCTGGGCATCAAGACTTCCTTAAACTTTCCTGGGGGTACCCCTGTGTCAAACTCCCATTGTGGAGAACATGGGATCTTTGTCTTTTGAGTTCTTTTGCAGGCTAATTGTAGATGTCAGCCTCACATGCTAGGCTGTGCTTCTAAGAGCTGTGAGGATCAGGTAAAGTGATACAAGCATGGGCTTTGTATTCAGATACCGCCCAACACCTATACTGGCTCATTTTCCTCACTAGAATCCTTAAGGCTAGCCTTGCCTGTGCTTTCTCTTTTGTCAAATGAGTGCGTGAATTCCTACCTCAGAAACTAGTTTTAAGAATGAAATGAGATGAGATAGGTAAAGTACGAAGGAGCAAAAGTGTTGTTTCAGGTAGGGGAAAGAAAGAGTAGATTAAAGTAATCAAGGGATGCTTTCTAGAGGAAGTGGTACTTAAGCTCAATTTTGAAGGACCAGAAAGATGCCATTAGGTAGAGATCATGAGACAGTTATGTCAAATAGGGAGCAGTGACACCATTGGAGATCAGCATTGGGTTGGTCAGGTGTTAGAGGCAGCAGGTTGTGGTAAAATTGGAGAGCCAGGTTGTGATAAGTTGCTATTAGTTTCCACCGTGGCCTCAGTGTGGGAGGTAACCTATCTGAGTCCTTTGAGCTGAAAGAACATTGATGGGCCAGGACTACATCCCTTTCTTGATTGTTCAGTTGACAATCTTGTATCATGTTTTTCAGCCATGTGATCATTCTGGGTGACCTGAATACAGCCCATCGCCCCATTGACCATTGGGATGCAGTCAGCATGGTAAGGCTCCTTCTAGGCCTTCAATCTCACTTTGGACTGTGGTTATGTTTAGCCAGTTATCCACTGCTGGGTTTTTGGCTTGATCACTCATTCATCAATTGACTATACTAACCCTGCCCTTGGCCTAGTCCTGAGCCCTATGCTGAGTACTTGATTACAAGTCAGATACACCTCTTGACCTCTCAGCATGGTGATGGGCAGTCGATACATAACCAGACAGTAATAGATGGCATCTTTAGATTGCAGTCTAGGAGTCTAGTATGAAGCCCAAGTAACGACTTCTTGGGTCAGCCTGGATATGAGGGGAAGCATCAAAATGGCTAAATCTTAGAACATGGCTGGACAGAACTTTGGGGTAGAGAGAGCAAAGCTTTCTGGCATGAGCAGAGGCTACAAGGTGACAATTTTGCCTGGTGTGTTTGAGGAACTGTAAGCCCTGTTCTTGGTGGGGGATGGCACAGGGAGGGAGATGAGTGATAGGCTACAGGGCTAGAGAATCCTTTGGGGGTTAGATTTTGAGAGCTTTGAACTCTGTGTTGCCTTGTTCACTTCCCTAATATAGTATGTTTTCTGCTCATGATCCTTTAATACCTCCCTGTTACCTTCCTGATAAAGAGAAAACATAGGCCTGGAAATACAAGGTTCTTTGTGAGTTTTTGCCTAGTGTCCATTTCTGTACTCAATACCCCTACACACTCTGTGCTCTCCAGCCAGGCTATCTTCTCTCTGTCATTGCAAAAGATACGTTCATTTTGGCTTTGCTCCCTGTACCCTGAATTAATGTGCATGCCCATCTTTCTGGTGTGAACTTCCTGTCATTTAGTCCCTCTGACCAATGGTTCTCAACCCTTGACATTAGAGCAAAGAGCTTTTACAAAAATATCAATAGCTTGGTGCCATTCCAGACCAATTAAATCAGGACCTGTTGGGTGTGAAGCCAGGTTGCAGTATGTTTTAAAATCCCCAAGCTCATTTTATTGTATAGTCAGGTTTGAGAACCACCGCACTATATGCCACTTATAAATCTATAAGCCACTTTTCAGCTTGCCTTATGAGGGACAGGATCAGTAACTTATGCAAGCACTGTGCAACTCAGCACTGGGCTCGGCTCAAAAAGGGGGATGTAGGAAGATTACTTGATTAGTTTGCATGTAAATCACATAAATATAGATGTGGCGTCCAGCTGGGAAAATAAACAAATGAAATAATGGTGGTTGTGCTGTGAACGGAAAGGAGTGAACACTATAAAGTGCAAACCTTCAGTTCCCCTGTACCTTACTCCTCATCACGTATTTACTCGATCTATTCTTGGTTCCCTGGGGGAGTGTCATATACCTTTATGTCTTCTCTGTAGTTGAGAACTATCCTAGATGTCTCAAGTGTTTTTTTTACATTTTTCCTTTCAAGAAAAGAGAACTGAGTGATAGTACTAGGTCACATGACAAACAATCTTTCCAAAGTGGCAGAATATGTCCACCTCCCACAAGACTGGCACTTCCAGTTTTCTCTTTTCCCTAATTGGCACTATCATCCCCTTGGTTGTTCCAGCCAGAAGCCTGGGAATTAGTTTAGTATTGTCCTCCTTCTCTACCCTCTATTCCCACTTTCAGTTACTCAGCAAGTACTGTGTTTTTAGCTACAATTCATGTCTTAATCATTTTTTTCCATCTCTTTTGGTACCACCTTAGGTAAAGTGACCATCATCTCTTGATCGCATGGATTATAATAGTCCTGCTGGTATTCTGTCCCCTAATCTAGTCTCCTCTCAAATCTTTTGGGTATATTGCCTCTTCCCTTCACACCTAATCACACAGACTATTCTCAGTTTGTGACACCTTTTGCCTGTATTATTTCCAGACTTCACATCTCTGCTTCAGATCACTTTTTGAAAGGTACCCTCTTTACCCAAGATGTAATCCTGTTCCCTAGCATTGTTTCTGGCACATAATTAGTATTCTTTAAGGATTTGTTGTATCGAATGAAGAGGTTGAGTGGTGGACTCCTCTTGGATGAATGGGTAATTTGGAAATCTGAATTAAAAGTATTGAGACATAGATCATTGGAGCCCCCTGGTTTAGGAGGGTAGGATGATCAGAGATTGCCAATGTTCTCAACTCCAAACCCCAGTCCTATTTCCTAGTGGCAACCACTTTTGACTTCCTGCTTTTCATTCTTTTGGAGAGCTATTATGAAAATGCGTTGATTAAACAAACAGCAGATTTTCAGATTTGTTATTTATAGACCAATACAAGGCAAATGTAGCCTGGTGCAGAGGGAAAAATAAGTATGGACTCTTAAATTAGTAAGGGTGGTAATTGAATCCCAGTTCTGTAAGTTCTGGACTGTGTGACCTTGTTCTTTGGAAAAAGAAGCCACTAGTTGAAGTCCCTTCCAGTTTTAGGTATCTGATTCAGCCTCTGTCTTTAACCCTTTTCTCCTTCCCCAGGAATGCTTTGAAGAGGACCCAGGGCGCAAGTGGATGGATGGCTTGCTCACTAACCTGGGGTGCCACGATGGGTCCCACGTAGGACCCTTTATTGATAGCTACCGCTGCTTTCAGCCAAGGCAGGAGGGGGCCTTCACCTGCTGGTCAACAGTCACTGGTGCCCGGCATCTTAACTATGGCTCCCGGCTTGACTATGTGCTGGGGGACAGAAACCTGGTCAGAGACACCTTTCAGACCTCCTTTCTGTTGCCTGAGGTGATGGGCTCTGACCATTGTCCTGTGGGTGCAGTCCTGAGTGTGTTCCCTGTACCTGCAAAGCAGTGCCCACCTCTGTGCACCCGCTTTCTCCCTGAGTTTGCAGGCACTCAGCTGAAGATCCTTCGCTTCCTAGTTCGTCTGGAACAAGATCCTGTGTACAAGCAGTCGGCGCTGCAACTCAGCAATCAAATACAGGTACAGAAGCGCCAGAGCAAGGCCTGTGTACGCTCAACTAGGCCTTGGCCAAGTCAGGTTCGCTTCAGCAGAGGCCAAAAAAACTTGAAGAGCTATTTCAAACCATCCTCTAACTGTGCTCAATCTTCTCCTAACCTGGAGCCTCCAAACCTGGATGGCCTTGTGACTCCAAAGACACCAGAAGAGGAAGTGATGGCCAAAGTGGTGGTGCAGACAAAGGCATCAGATTCAGAAGCCAAAGCTAAAAAGGAGGTGCAGACCTCATTCTGGAAATCCGTGCTTGGGGGCCCTTTGCCTATGCCCCTCTGTGAGGGACACAAGGAGCCATGTGTGTTACGAACTGTGAAGAAGCCAGGACCCAATCTGGGCCGCCATTTCTACATGTGTGCCAGGCCCCAGGGTCCTCCCACTGACCCCTCCTCCCGCTGCAACTTCTTCCTTTGGAGCAGGCCCAGCTGAACCAACCTAGGCCTAGGGATATCTGATACGGTCAGTTCTTCTGTACTGCCTTCTCCTCCCTGAAGACCTCTCTCTTTCCTTTCCTTCCCTTCACTTTTTCCCTCCTCTCAGGTCTCTTCCTTGCTCTTCTTCATGCCTGTCTCCAAATGTCTCCTTCATGCCTGTCTCCTAATGTGCCTTAAAACTGACTCAGGCCCATACCCCACTTCTGACTTTCCTGTCAGAAGTACACAGGAAGAAGTTACTCTGGAAGGTGTGATTTTTAAACCCCTTCCTTCCTTTCTGGGAAATGTGTTTGTGTTTAAATAAAATTTGTCTATTTCTTTTACCTTGTCATGCTGTGTGGACATTTTGGGTGTGTTCCATGGGGTTGGGTCTAAAATATTATCTCAGTACTGGATTTGCAACAGTCTGTATGCCAGAATACAACTCCCGGAGAGAGGGGAGGAAAGAGGAGTGCATGTTCCATAAAAGGCTCTGCTGAATTGTATATACTCCTGCATTGATGTGGTTGGATCTATAAGGATGATGAGTGTGGTATGGCAGAAAGCTCAAGTGGGCTTTGTGGCTTTAAGTCAGGGCTTCTCAATTGGTGTGTCTCTCAGCTGCTACACGTGGCTTACAGTGTGAAAGGAAATGGGTCCTTCTGTCCTTCTGTCCTATCTGTGCTAGGCCAGATATTGCACAAGCGTCTGGGAAGATTACCTTCTAGGCAAGTAGTATTAGTTCGCCTGAGTGTGCTATGGGAGTTTTTTCTGTGTTATTTGACCTGGAAATGTTGGGATCATTGTCTGCGGCCAGTTTCTATAGCTAAACCTCTCTTCAGCAAAGGGGGATGGTATATCCTATACTGTAAGGTGCTGTGGGAAGGAAAGAGGATAATGGGTTGGGTAGGACATCCATTCCCCCTATTAGTAAGAAAATACGTCCAGATGTTTGGGAACCAGTCCTCTCCTCCAGGCAGTTCGGTTAAGAATGACTCCATCTTTGGGCTTTAGAGGTTACCTGGGCTCTGGTTTCCACCTCTACCAATTAAGAGTCAGTCCCTGGATATTTGTTAGAGCCATTGGGAAAGAGCCATTTTAAATGAAACTGCCAAGTATCTGACCTTTTTGTGCAACTTGCTGTGTCACTTTTGGCCATTTCCTGTCTTTGTATCACAGTTTCCCAATCATTAAAATGGGATGGTCATACCAACAAATGACCTGTGGTTTCTTCATGGTTCTGCCACTTGTTTGAAGGAGTTAGGTAAAGTGCAGTTGTCAGTTTTTGGTCCAAAAAAAGGCTACACAAATGCTGCAGTTTGCTCTTTATTTTCAGATTCAAGTCAGCTAGCGGCACACAACAAAGCAGAAGACAGGAGAAAGTCCAGCCCCAACTGAAGTGCTGTTAGGGTGGGAATTTGAGGCCATTGCCTTCTTAAGCATAGGTGGTAACATATTGAGGCCCCATGTTCCCAAAGTAGGAACGCTCCCATTCACTCATGAGCTCAAAGTGTACAGGACGGCGACAGAAATTGCAGGCAGCTACGGAAACATCCTGGAGGGGTAGCCCCACCTCAGACCAGGCTACCAGCAGCTTCTCTGATGATGGAGGGAAGAAGGGAAAGAACAAGTTAGACTAGGTCTTCATATCCCCGGGTCAAGCCACAGATATCTATCCCCGAACCATTTGAGATGACTCAAAACTAGAAGTAGCCACTTCTGTTTGCTTTGTATGCTGTGCTGTTTTGTGTATGAGTGCTGTGATGTGTAAAAGATAGGGAACACAATTTGAAACTACTCGTCTGTCGTGGACCTCTCCCTAAATGCAGTGCGTTCTGTGGACCAAGAAACAAATCTGCTTGCTTGGAAACTCTAAGCCGGATAAGGAAGATGACAGCTGATAGTAAACTGTCATTAGTGTTGGAGGTGTTGCTGGAGTAGGTGGGAGCCCAGAGGGAAGAACATGACACCACTGTTGGAAGTCTGTCACATGCCTGCCAGGACTCTGTTCCTTGCTGTTTTATCTTCACTCACTTGGTGATCTCATCCAGCATCATAGTTTTAAATGCCACCTACATGCTGATTCTGAAATTTTCATTTCTAACTCAGACCTCTCTGAATTCTAGGCTGGTATATTCTATTATCTTTTTATTAACCTCCACTTGGATTTTTAATAGAGAGCTCTAGTTTGACATGAGCACAACTGAGCTACAGATTTCTTTACCCACTCTGCTTTCCGTCTTACCCATCTCAGTTGATTCCAGTTGCCAAGTCCCCAAATTTCTGAGCCATCCTTTATTTCTCTCCTCTGCCACATGTAATCTCCAGCAAATACTACTGGCTCCACCTTCAAGCTTTGACCACCTGTCATCACCTCCAGTGCTATCATCAAGGCTGAGCTACTATCATCTCTAACCTGGAGTATTGCAGTAACCCTCTAAGGACCTAACTGCAGTTCGGTTAGCCCAAGTCAGCTATGTCACTCCTCTGCTCGAATCCTCCAAACAACTCTCTACTTCAGAGTTAAAACCAATATCCTTCCAACGCCCTACAATGTCCTGCATAGTCATTACTTCTCTTTCCTCAATGTTCTCTCTCCCTTTTGCTCGCTTTCCACATACCTTCTTCCTCAAATACAAAAGGAACACTTCTTTCTGTCTTAGGGGTTTCCCTCCCTTAGACTGTTTCCTCTGCTTGAGATAGCTTAGATAACTGTTCGGCTAACTCCACTTCTTCATATGTTGCTCAAGGGCCATCTCAATGATCTTTAACCTCAACTCTATTTAATAGTAGTCTTTCTCAAAACTAGTTCCTTTCTTCCCAGCACTTCCCATATTTTGCTCTATTGTTTCCTTTGCATTAAGAACTACCATGCTGTAAAATTTGTTTATTTTTTTTTCTATCTTCCACTAGAATGTAAATTCCAGACGGATGGGGATTTCATGTTGGATTTGTTTACTGTTTGGGAGGCAGTACCTAGAATGGTGACTAGCACACAGTAGGTATTCAAATATTTGTTTAAGAAATGAGTGAAAGGAGGTAAGTTAAAGAAAGAGGTAAGTCCAACCAGAAGGTGTGTCATCAGTAAAGTTCCAGAGGTAATAAAGTAGAATCAAATGATTGCCATGTATTTCATTTAAATAACTTCTAATGTACAACTGTACAAGGCCCTGCACTAAAAACTTGACCCAATGAGAATCCAGTACACTTTAAATGAAATCACTAAACTGGCCTTTTTTAGGGTAAGACCTAAGCTATCTGGCAGCTTGACAAGCTTCTTACTCTAGTCCCTGTACTGAGGTGTCTTTGTAAACTCATAGGTTACACTCCTCTTTCCCCACACTGTTCCTGTTAGTAAACATTCCAGTTACACCTGTTTATTCTTTGTATGTCCCAGGCTGCTTCTTGCTGCCCTCCTTGCCCTTTCTTCAAGCTCTTCCCTCTGCTAGGAATACCATTTTCCTTTCTTCTTTTGATGCAGTACCACTTACCTTCAAGGTTAGGTTCAGGGATCTCCTTCAGTAGGAAGCCTCTCTTGAACCCCACAGGTTGGGTCAGGCCCTACCGCTCTACTCCAACAGCTCCCCATGTGCTCACTATGTTTGTTGGCCTTTGATCATTGTGTCCTTTATGATCTCCCCAACAAAACTGAGTTCTATGAGTCCAGGACTATTTCTCATTCATTTTTTACCCCACTATAGAGTCTAGTATATAATAGATGTCCCAGAAATGTATTTTGAATGGAATGACTTTCATTCTCTTAACTTCTTCAAATCCTGGGGTTGATGGGAGGGAAAGTACTGTAGATACCCATAGAGAAGACTTACCCACAAACTCTTCCATCATCTGAGGACTGTGGTGGGGGGAGGGTGCCAGACGCAACAGCTCCTCACCCCGAGGAACAGTTGGGTAGTTGATGGCCTGCACATAGATGTCATATTTGGAAAGCAGGAGATCACAGACCTTACTGTTCAGCGCTGCATCACCCACCTGGGCTCAGGAGAAAAGCCTGTCAGTATCTGCCAGCCTGCCCCAGTATCACTGGCTGTAGATCAATGAACATTACTGCATTTGGGGGCAGAGCTTTTCATAAAGGGTTTGGGAAATGGCAGCTCCAGAATTTCTATTGAGAAGTTGCTCAGGGGCAGCAATCAAATTTGAAGGGAATGGGGGCTAGAGATACTGTGTTGAAGCTGTTTGGCGAGCAATCGCATTGGTTTTAACTAGCTGATAGGATAATTTGGGGGTGGTTCTGGGTAAGAATCCACCTCTAGGGTGTTGTCACTGGGTTAATTTAAAAACAGGTATTTACAAAAGTGGTTTTGCAAGGGAATATTGGGTTAGCACAAAGAGCAATGACTTTCTTGCTCACCCACAAAAGTGACCCAAAAATGGTTCTTCTTATACCCTGGTTACAAATACACACACACAAATAGGAGTTATTTGGGAAGGAAGTAGCAGTTCATTTCTAAAGGCAATAGCCACTTGAACATATTTGGGATTCTAAAGCAACAGCTAGTTCCATGGCTTTTGATTTTGTTTTCTGACTTCAATTCTTAGTAAAAACTATGTTTTACACCACAATCTTACCAAACATATATATTGGGTTATTTAGAAAGTTATGACACATTTAAGCAAAAATGCGTCATGACTTTTCCAGGAATCCAAATACATGTGCATATACACACATCCAAATCTGAAAAATTTCTCATAAAATGGTACCTTTACTGTGTGTTATGTACTCTAATGTTTTCTATTCTGATTCTATTTTTTAATGTTAGTCAATAACCCACTAGATTGATTTTGTGGACCACTAGTTATCTTGATTCAGTTTGAAAACTCTGAGTTACAGGTTATCACTTGTCAATATTGTGAGAGTGAGGACTGTCTGTTAAGCATGAGATAATAGCTAATGCAGAAAACGATAATCCAGAATTACTGATATTTTTTAAAAAAAGGTAACAAAGCTAGGAATAGGGAAAATGGTTGACAAGAAAGCAGTGCTGATAGGAATAGATATTTTTTCCTGAGTGTGGAAGTCTCACAGAAAAGAAAGGTGGGTAGGGTAGTGGGCAGGCTAGGGCTCACCCGAATGGGAATGATGTGACTTGGGCAGGGGATGACAGGAAAGCCTTTGTCCATTAGTAGCTGACGCATGTGCTTCACATTGCGCTGGTGAGCCCGCCTCAGGGCTTGACCCTCCTTTCCCTTGAGGAGCCGCACAGATTCCAGAGCGCCAGAGAGCACCATAGGGGGCAGTGAAGTAGTGAAGATGAAGCCAGCAGCATAGGAGCGCACCATGTCCACCAAGTCATGGGTGCTGGCAATATAACCGCCCACACAG